GCCCCCCTCCAGCCGTCAGCTGACGCGGCCGCCCGTGCCCCCGCCTCTCCCGCCAGGGCCGCACAGCAGCCGCACCTTCCCCCAGCGCCTCGGCCCGGCCTGGCGTCTCCTCACAGACCCGGAAACTCCGCGGCAGCTCGCGCTCCTGCTCGCGCTCCGGCCGCACGAAGGCCGCCATTCCTGGCGGGTGGGCGCCCAGTGAACACTTGTTGAGTGAGAGAAAGTGTGGACGTGTGGATTATTTTTCACTTTTTTTTTTTTTTTATGACAGGGCCTCGCTCTGTCACCCAGGCTGGAGGGCAGTGGCGCGATCACAGCTCATGGCAGCCTCCACCTTCCCGGCTCAGGCGATCCTCCCACCTCAGCCTCCCTCGTAGCTGAGGACCACAGGCATGCGCCACCACACCTGGCTACATTTTTTTTCCATTTTTTTTATAGAGACAGGGGTCTCACTATGTTGCCCAGGCTGGTCCCAAATTCCTGGGCTCAAGCAGCCCTCCCATCTCAGCCTCCCAAAGTGCTGGGATGACAGATGTGAGCCGCCAAGCCCGGCCTTTTTTTTTTCAACTTTATTTCAGATTCAGGGGCACATGTGAAGTCGTTACTAAGGTTTGGGGTGTGATTAATCCCGCCACCCAGGTACAGAACATAGTACCCAAGAGTTTTTCAACCCTTGCTCTCTCCCTCCCTCCGTTTCTCCTCCCTGAGGAAGGATGAGGCGTAACGAAGAGGATGGATCTGGCCAGAGCACTCTGTGCTCTTTTCTGAGCTGCTCTGAGTACCCAATGTTTCGCTCCCACTTATGAGAACATGTGGTATTTGGTTTTCTGTTTCTGCGCTAATTGGCTTAGGATGATGGCCTCCAGCTGCATCCATGGTGCTTTAAAGGACATGATTTCAGTCTTTATGGCTGTGTAATATTCCGTGCTGTATATGTACCACATATTCTTTATCCAGCCCACCATAGATGGGCACATATTGATTCCATGACTCTGCTTTGTGAATAGGGCTCTGATGGGCATGTCGTTTTGGTAGGATGATTTCTATTCCTTTGGGTTTATACCCAGTAATGGTATTGCCAGGTTGAATGGTAGTTCTAAGTTCTTTGAGAAATCAGCAAGTGAAGGTGGTGGTTACGTGATGTGAGGATGGCTGTTGGGTGAGGTGAGGATGGGTTAGGTAAGGTGCAGGTTGTGGTTAGGTGAAGTGAATATGGATTAGATGAGTTCAGAGCGGTGGTTAGGTGAAGTGAGGGTGGTGGTTAGGTGAGGTGAGGTTAGTAGTTAGGTGAAGCGAGGTTAGTGGTTAGGTGAGGTGAATATGGGTTAAGTGAGGTGAGGGTGGTGGGTAATTGAAGTGAGTATGGGTTGGATGAGTTAAGAGGGGTAGCTAGAGAAGCTGAGGAGAGTATTTAGGTGAAGCGGAGGTGGTTGTTAGATGATGTGAGGTAAGAGTTATGGCTAAGTGAGGTGAATATGGGTTAGACGAATATGGGTTAGGTGGTTGGGTGAGGTGAGGCTGTTGGTAGGTGAGGTGAGAGTGGTGGTTAAGTGAAATTAGTATGTGTTAGATGAGTTGAGAATGGTGGTTAGGCGAGGGGAAATGGTTAGATGAGTTGAGAGTTGTGGTTAGGTGAAGTGAGTATGGGTTAGGTGAGTTGAGAGTGGTGGTTAGATGAGGTGAGGGTGGTGGCTGGGTGAAGTGATGTGGGTAGGTGAAGTGAGTATGGGTTAGATGAGAGCTTGGTTAGGTGAGGTGAGGAAAGCAGTTATGTGAAGTGAGTATGGGTTAGATGAGTTGAGAGTGGTGGTTAGATGAGGTGAGGGTCGTGGTTAGGTGAAATGAGTATGGGTTAGATGAGACTTGTGGCTAGGTGAGGTAAGGAAAGTGGTTAGGTGAAATGGGTTAGGTGAAGTGAAGGTGGTGGTTGGGTGAAGTGAGGATGGTGGTTAGGTGAGGTGAGGGGGTTAGTTAGGTGAAGTGAATAGAGGTAGGTGAGTTGAGAGTGGTGGTTAGGTGAGGTGAGGATGGTGGTTAATGACATGTTCTCACGACTGGAATCAGGAAGGTGAGGAGTAGCGAGGAGGAGGAATCTGGCCAGGACTACTTTGTGCTCTTTTCTGAGCTGTCCTAAGTAAGCAGGGTCACGGTTACCAAGAAGAGATTCCTACAATGCAAAGTAAATGGGTTAATACGTTCTGAATAATGATTAAACAGTAACATTATAATTAAGAGTCAAACTAATAAGAGCATAACTTTTTGAATTTTGCCTTAAATTTTATATTGTAAAGCAACGGTGAGGTTCCGTTTTATCTATACAGATTTAGGACCTCTTGGCAAAAACAAAATTCATCTTATAGGCACACATGGATTGTTTACCTCTTTATTTTATAGGAATTAGCTTTATCAAAGAAAATGCAGATCAGGAAGTGGCTTTTAGGAGTGGTGAGCGATGATGATGCCCTGCAGGTGTTGCTGGTTTTATCAGGACCGGCACTGGTTTTCCTTCTAGAGGACCCAGCTCTTTTTGTGTAGGATTCCCTGTTGTCAGTGATTCTGCCACTGTGATGATCATGAATCCCTCCTCTGCCTGATGATTCTGTGGAGATTAAAAGTATCAAGCCATGAAGCTTGCTAAACCAAGAAATGTTAAGGAAATAAAATTCCCAAGATACTGCAGCTTAGTAGCTGGCTGTGGCTTGGGCAACTCCCTCTGTCTGGAGCACCTCGCCCTGTGACTGGAGGTCATAGCGTTTAACATACTCACACTTGTGTGTCCACTTGAAGTATCAGAAGGCTGGATGTGCTGCCTCGGGGACAGACTGAGCTTTCTTTGTGAACTTAGCTCAGTGCTTCTTCCTTTGCTTTCCCTGATGGTGGTGGGTCATGTTCCCTCCAGACAGAGGTGCTTTACGGGAACCATCCAAAGTCATTCATGATGCAATACAAGAAAAAAGAGGATGTTCTGAGTGGTAGGTGTCATTTTTTGGTTCAAGATGGAGGTGGAATTATAAAGTGAGACTGTCTTATGCCTTCCAGGCAGGCAAGAGTCCTTCATGGCCAGAGCACAGGGCTGGATGTTGGAACCGTTCCCATTGTCTGGTGCTGCTGCTGGTCACCATCAGCTTACAGATCCATTTTCTTTCTTTGTAGATCATGTTTTATATTCTGGTGAAGGCCATTTACACCCTGGGCTACAGTGTCTCTCTGATGTCCCTTGCAACAGGAAGCATAATTCTGTGCCTCTTCAGGTAAGGAGTAGAAATTAGTCTGCAAAGAATACAAGACAAGAAAACTTTCCATTTAGGCCTTCTAGGCGCTGCCCAGCCTGGAGCCCTCTGTGTGCTAAGCCAACAAAACTCCCTTGGAGAATGCTGGCATGAAATATGATGTTAACATTTACATTTTTATTCAGATGCTCTGTATTTGTCATGTAAAGAGATAATATTGGCCTTGGATAAGAGTTCAACTCAACTATCATTTATTAAATACTTAGCCATTATGTAAATGCATGGAAAATAGAGAAGAAATATGATCTCGCCCTTGCCATCCAGAAGCTCCTGTGTTTTGGCTGCAGGTGCTCTATTAGCAAGATGCTGCAATGTGTTTAAGAGCATGAAGGTGGAGTCAGACTGTCTGGGCTCAAATCCTGGGAAGTCTCTTAGCAGCTGTGTGACCTTGGGCAAAGTACTTAACCTGTCTGAGCTTCTGTTACGTGTGGAGACTAAGAAGCCCCCTTCAGAGGGCTGTTGTGAGGACTTAACATGTTGGCAGATGTGAAATGCTTAGCGTGACCTGTGGGGTGGTGATGACAGCTTATTAAATGCTGTCCACTCTTCCCTGGAAGTGAGGTGAGACAGCCCCTGCCCACCTACATCTTTAGTGGGTCTCTTGGTAACTAATGATGACATTTTACAGATGATTTGACCAATCAAATCATTGTTTGATTTGAGTTAGGAGGTAGAGGTTTTGGTCCCAGAACAGCAGTTTCTCTATAGGAAGAGCTCATTGGTGTATTAGGATTAAATCTGTCTTCCGTATCATTAGCACTAAATAAAATGGTTGCTATTCAGCTTATTCTAATAGTGTATCAATCATTGCATATTTTATTTCTCTCTGCTAAAATGTAATCCAAAAGTTTGCCAGTATGTCAGATAAGATCAATGATATAACAAATGGAATATTTCTAGACCCTAACAACAGTCCATTAGGAGATCCATGCTTGGAAGTAAAATAAACAAGTTAGTTGTTGAGAATCCAGCTAAGAAACTCAGCAAATGTAATTGAGTTATGTTTTTTATTGTTCAGGCATCTCAACTATGGTTGGCAATTCTCAGAAAGAATAAGTCTACCTTTCATACAGGGTTGCACTTTGAAAAATGTGAGGAAGGCCTATCATATTCTAGTTATTTCAAAAAGCTGGTACAATATTAATATTTGTTTTATTATACTCTATATTTTATTATATGTGTTTAAATTTTCAAGTTGCTAAAGAGAAGAAAGAGAGGAAAAATTTAAGGAGGTAAGCTGACCCAAGGTAATTAAATCTGAAATGTTTATCTTATTTTCCTGTATTGAACAATCCCTATTTTTACACACATCAGTTTCCTTCACGTATGTAGAGTGTGACATATGTATTAGGCAACCCAAGAGCACCAGGAATTATCCCACCTATGAACACTGATCCTTTAGGGCACAGAGCACACTCCGCCATCTGTGGGCATGATTAGTCACCTGCCTGTGGTACTTCTGAGCTGAAAAAGTGTACATCTGCATCAGGTGTCATTCTGCTGGTGGCCGAGTGTGTGATGTTTGCCAGAAAAAGCATCCAGAGCTGGTGTGCTGTTGTAGGATTGGGGCTCATCCCACATCCTTCCGTCAGAAGCAGGGTCCAATGTCACTTCCTGAGAGCTGTGTGAGTGTGTCGATTCTAAAGTCCATATTATAAAAATAATGTGCTCCATTGTCTCAGTAATTATACCCAGGAAGCAGAATGCTTTGTGAGCATTGAACATTTCTTCTCCAAAATAGCCCCATAAGCCAAGAAAGCCTTCAGTAGCCATGTTCTTACTTTACACACAGGGAAATGGAGCTACTTATTTCTTAGAAAAAGTCCCAAAATGCGATGATGACTCTCACAACAAATATAAGACCAGCTTTGTGTCGGAGTCGTCCTGTGGCAGCTGCCCCTGTGACCCAGGGGCCACCAGAGACAGCTCCAGTTCGTGCCAGTCCAGCAGGGACCACAACACCATTGCTCCTCAAACAACATGGGTTTGAACTGCATGGTATACTTCTCTGAGAATTTTTTTCATTATGGTCAGCCCTCTGTATCGAGGGATTCAACCACAGATCAGAAACACGGCCTATTCTCAGGATGAGGAGCCTGCAGATACAGAGGCCATCTTCATGTATCCGCGGGTCCTGAGAGGCCAACTATGGGACTTGGACATTCATGGATTTTGGCATGGGGTAAGGAGGGCAAGGTCAGGGAGGGGGATTAGACCCAATCCCCTATGGACACCAAGGGACAACTGTAACTGCTCACAAGCGCCATGCCAAGTATTTTACAGATGTTAACGTCACCAGGTAAGTACTGCCACTGACCCAGTTTCACCAGGCGGAGAGTGCAGCCCCAGGAAGATTGCTGGACATTTCAGGGTTGCTGAGCTGGTACCTGCAGAGCCCAGATTCTCTCATCAATGCAGCTTGTACCTCCATCACTGTCAGATGAACGTGGCCTCCAAAATCCTTTCCCACCAGTGCTGATGAGCAGACTCCAGACCCCCTTTCCAGAAGCCACATTTTCCGCTACTTCCATTGCCCATTGGCAGAACCATACGTGGAAGTGAAAATTTAAAATGAGCAGTGAGTAATAAAGAATATCATCAAGAAACCCAGCAAACGTGTTTGGATGGCTTGCTAACTGGACCAAAAGCGTGCTTATGTCTGAGCAATGGCTATAAGTGCCAACCTCACTCCACAGAAAGACATGGGGTGGGAGAGAGAGGGAAGGAGAAAAAGAAGAGAGGGAAAAAGGTGTTAGGGATAGATGAATGCAGCCAATGTGAGAATCAGTGGGAAGCGAAATGGCACCAGTAGGGGACTTTGCCTTCTGAGGAGGGGAATTGAGGAGAAGCCAGAGGAAGTGGCGCTGGTTCATGCACCTGGCACAGTGGCCGCACCGTGCCCACGCAGCTTCAGAATTGCTCCCAAGACCCCAAGAAAATTCAGAGTGTATTTATAATTCTTCACTTACTAAGGCTCGGTGGCAGTTACATATGTTAAAATAAACATTTGCTAATGCAGTACACATTCAGAATGCATGTTTACCAAGTGAACACAGCACCAGATCCAGATGCAGGACACGACTGTCACCAGGGACGCTGCAACCACGCTGCATCCACCCCGATTCCCTCCTGAGAAGCAGTCATTATTCGGAGTTCTTGCACCAGAGACAACTTTTCTGTCCTTTTGAAAATGTTATTTCGGAATCCTACAAAAGGGACTCCTGATCTCTGGGTTCTTTCACTCAATGTTTTGCAAGGAGGCTCATCCATGTTGTTGCATGTTGCTGCCATGTTTTATTTTCTTGCTGTATAGTATTCCACTCAAAAAAAAATACAATTTATTTATCCAATCAACTGTTCATGGACATATGGGTTACTCAGCTGGAGGCATAACAAATAATGCTGCTGTTATACTCTTAGTCATCATCTCGTGCACATATGCACATGTTACTTCAGGTATATGTGTTTATGTGTATACACATTTATATTTACATTTATGTTTATCTTGTATTTACTGGTCATAGGCTATATGTAGACATAGTCTTTCTGGACACTGCCAGTATATACACTAATACCCTGATGGGATCATGATACAACATAGACATGTATCAAAGCACCAAAGTGTACCCCACAAATATATACAATTACCAAGTGTCCATTAAAAATAAATACATTTATTGAAAATAAATGAAGGCCACCAAGTGATTTCCAAAGTGGTTACCAGTGTCCACACCCACCAGCAGGGCATGAGGCTTCCATTTGCACTGCATCCTTGCCTCCATTCGGTATTGTCCGTTTTTAAGCCTCCAGCCATTCTTGTGGGTCTATCATAACATAGAATGATGTTTTAATTTACACTTCCCTGATTTCCCTGGTGGAAAATGAGTTCGTATGTTTCAAAATCTTGCTTTTTTAATAGCGCCATTTCAAAATGAGTTTGCTCATTTTTTTATTTGATCTCTCTCTCTATTTAAATCAATATTTAGGAGTCTTAGAGTCTTCCATTAGGTATAAGTATTACGGATTTTGTCTCCAGCTCTGTGATTGGGTTTAAGCCTCTTCGTGGTCTTTGGATAAACAGAAGCGCTTAGCTTTCATGGAGCTCATTTGCCATTTGTTTCTTTATGCCATTGTTTCTTGAGTCCTCTTAAGAAATCTTTTCCATATTCTTTTTTATCATCTAGAGATTTTATTATTTTAACTTTTCATGTTTCTGGCCATAATCTACCTGTGATTTATTTCTGCTATGGTGTGAAGTGGGGTGAAGTTTCGTGAGGTTTCAGCGTAACATCCAGTTGTCAAGCAGGTATGAGAAGGAGCTTCTGTGGCCTGCATTGCTTCTCTGTCACAGAGCAGGCAGTGGCACGTGTGGGGACCTAGAGTCTCAGTTCTGCTCTTTTGGCCTTCTGTCTGTCACTGCACTGTTTCTGTTTATTATAATTACCCTGCCTTTAATAAGTCTTTATTCCTAGGAGTCCCAAGTGCATCAACTCTTTTTTTTTTTGTTTGTTTAATTAGGAAGAGCTTGGCCATTTGTACTTACATGTGAATTTTTTAAATTAACTTTTAAAAATGAACTTTTACTATCAATTGCCATTTTTTAAAAATCAGGCTGGACGGAGTGGCTCACACGTGTGATCCCGGCACTTTGGGAGGCCAAGGCAGGATGATTGCTTGTGCTCAGGAGTTTGAGACAAGCCTAGGCAACATAGGGAGACCCCATCTCTATGGTATCTGCAACAAAGTTTAAAATTAGCTGGGTGTGGTGGTGCATGCCTATAGTCTCTGCTACTTAGGGTCTAAGGGGTCGAGGCTGCAGTGAGCCATGATCATACCACTGCACTCCACCCTGGGCAACAGAGCACGACCCTTTCTCTCAAAAAAACAAAAATTATATTGCAATTTCATTTGGAATTGCATTGTATCTATAGATCAGCTTGGATAAACAGGACATCTTTCTA